AAAAAAAAAAAAAGGGCTCAATGACATTCAGTTTACATATTTGTCCCCAAGAAAACTTCACAAACAGTGCTGTGCGCTTCTTATTGCAGCCTATGACAAGGCACATGAGATCCGGTTGTTCCCCAAAATGACTTTTTAAAAAATTATGCTCTTAATACACATAAAATGTACCACCTTAATCATTTTGTTTAAGACTTGGAGTCTCGCTCTGTCACCCAGGCTGGAGTGCAGTTACACACTCACAGCTCATGGCTCAAGTAGTCCTCCTGCCTCAGACTCCCAAGAAGTTGAGACTACAGGCACGTGCCACCACACCCGGCTATTTTTTTATTTTTTGTAGAGACAGGGTCTTGCTATGTTGCCCAGGCTGGTCTCAAACTTCTGAGCTCAAGCGATCCTCCTGCCTCGGCCTCCCAAAATGCTGGGGTTACAGGCGTGAGCCACCGCACCCGGCCCGTCTTAATCATTGTTAAGTGTACAGTTCAGTAGTGTTAGGTACATTCACGTTTTTGCACAACCAATCTGCCGAACTCTTTTCATCTTCTAAAACGGAATCTCTGTCCCCACGAAACAATACCCTGTTTCCCCTCCCCATAGGCCAGGCCAACCACCATTGGGCTTTCTGTCTCTATGAGTTTGACTACTCTAGATGCTTTATACAAGTGGAATCATACAGGATTTGTCTTTTTGTGACTGGCTTATTTCACTTAGCATAATGCCCTCGATGGTCACCCATGTCGTAGCACGTGTCAGATGTCCTGCCTTTTGAAGGCTGAGTAACGTTCCACCGCGTGGCTAGACCACGTTGTGATCTACTCGCCAGGGTTGCTGCCACCTTGTGGCTACTGTGAATAATGCTTCTATGAACATGGGCGCACAAATATCTTTTCGAGTCCCTGCTTTTAATTATTTTGGTTATATCTCCAGCATTGCTAGATCACCCAAAATAACATTTTAAAATAAAACTTTCCTTAGTCTAAAAATAATATGAACTCATTGTAGAAATTTGTAGAAAATCCAGGAGAACATAAACCAGAAAATAGTACTTTAGAAAAATTCAACATAACTTTAAAAATAACATTTTCTGTTTTGATCGTTGCAATAGTAATTGTTGGAATAAGAGTGATGTTCATTTCCTTTCTTATGCTTATGCCTAGCTGTATAATTTTATAGTTTTAAAATAAGCATAAAACCAAAAAGCCTCTAGGCCCCCTTCGGCACTCCTCCCTCCGCCCCCCAAGTGTGCCAACTGGCTGCTACTCACCCTGGGGGGCCCTACCTGTGTCCCTTTCTGTGACAGGGTGGAAGAGCCATGGGTGGGCAGAGCTGGGATGCTGGCCCTGCTAGAAGTCTGCACCCAGGCCTCCGGCAACATCACTGAAATAAGGTGAGTTCAGGGAGGAGGAATTCTTGGAATTCTTCTTCTTTTCATGACATTGGGACCTTCCCTCCTCTTGTCCTGTGGGGTAATAGCTGTGTCACCAGTGAGTTCTCTGTGTCCCCAAGATGGCAGGAATTCCTGGGGCATACGTGTGGTGCTACACTTTGTTAGGACCTGTGCAGTAGTCAAGGCGCAGTGTCAGAGCAAAGCTTCCCCAGGGTCGAGACGAAGGGCTGCTGGGTCCAGGCAGCCGTGGCTGGGAGTCCACGCTGGTTGCTGGGAAGTGGCCCCTGGATGCAGTAACACGCGTCACGGCTCTGTGGCCAGAGATGACAGAATGACATGGAGTAGCTAAGAGCAAAGGCTTCCGCATCCTACTCACCCATGTTCAGATCCCAACTCAGCCGCTCTGGCCTTATTAACCCTGCTGCTCTAAACAAGGGGTATGATCACACCCTCATGGGAGCAGGTAAAGATGTCCAACGTGCTGTCACCAGCTACACAGCTGCCCCCTGCTGCTTCCTCCTTTCCCCCAGGAGTCACCAAGGAGACACTTGGGGGACTTCAACATCTCCCTCAGCCCTCTCCCCATAACCACCCTCATTAACTTAACATTCAAGTAAAGGCGGAGCTCGGAGTGCAAATCCAGCCTCCAGACACGCCCCCCACACGCTCCCTTCCACCACGCTGTGGCCTTGATCCCCCCTCAGGAAATCCTGGCGCTCTCCTTGGACCTCTCTGGTGGCTTTCTGTCATGGCCTGAAAAGCCTCCTTGACTTATTAAGTTAAAGTTGTTGCAAAGGCGCCCCTCTCAGTGTATGCGACTCAAGGAAGCAACTGCCTTGCCATCCTAAGCTGGTCCCTGGAGGGCAGGAGGGGACCCAGGCAAAGGGTCTGGGAGTCAGAGGCAGGCGCCCCGGTGCCAGGGCCAGCCGCCTGGGGCCTCACGCCGGCTGCCCCTCCCTCCTCAGCATCTCCGAGACCCAGCAGCAGCTCCGCATCCAGCTGGAATTTCCTCACCAGGAAGAGGACCCGGAGGCTGTGGCCCTCAGGTGGGACCAGCGCCTGGGGCTTCAGGGGCGCAGTTGGCGTTGGGAGGGGCATGGCTGCTTCTGACCTGTATTCCTCAGGCCCCTGCCCAGACCTTTGATGTCCAAAGTCTTCACAAGACCCATACAATCTGGCCCAGCCCGCTCACTCTGCCTTCCAGCCCCGCCCCAGCCCTGACCTCAGCTCCCGTCGTCCCCACCAGCATTTAGTTCCCTGAACACCGCCTTACTGTCTTTGACCTCAGGACCTTTGCACAGGGTGTTCCCTCTGCCCAGAATGTTCTCTTCTCACGTATCCTCTTCCTCCTTTACCTGGCCACCTCCTCCTCATCCTTCAGGTCTCAACTTAGACGCCACCACCTCAGGGAGGCCCCCTGAACCCCATGACTTAGTCAGATACTCCTGTCTCATAGATGCCTGGACACAGCACCTCTCATCTATGCAGCACAGTTTTGGAAATTAAAATGCCACCTCTTTTGAGTGAATGCAGCCCTCCACGTATACATCCTGGGGAACAGAGCATGATCTCAGCCCCAACTCACCTCCTTGGCTGGGTGCCCTTGTGCAGTGAACAGCCTGCACAGCCGTACCGGCTGCCCCATTGGGACCCCTCCTTCCTGGCACATTTCATAATCGAATAGCAAATGATGGGACTTTGTTTGATCCGTATTTATTTTCCCCTATACCATAAGCTGCCTGCAGGCAGGGACCAAATGGCCCATGCTGGAGCAGGTGTTCAGAAACTGCCCACCTCCCTGTCCCCCTCCAGGTTGGCTCACTGTGACCTTGGGACCCACCACAACCTTCTCGTCAGGCAGCTCATGGAGACATGCGCCAGGCTGCAGCAGCTCAGGTCAGCACCCGGAAACACCTGGGGCCGAGTTCTCTGGTTGACCCCAGCGCCTACTCCAGGCCACGTGTGACCCTGGCATTGTCCTTTCCCTGTGTGGGAGAGAATCACATTCGGCCAGTGAGGGGAGAGTCCAGGGTGGCAAAGAGCTCTTGGGGAGGTCCTTTCCCCTCCCTTGGCTGCCCCATCTGTACGTGATGACCCCAGAGGTGTGGCCAGCCTGGAATTTTCTGGAATATCCTTGGTCTTTTTCAGCTTGTCCCAGGTTAACCTCTGTGATGACGATGATGCCAGCGTCGTGCTGCTGCAAAGCCTCCTGCTGTCCCTCTCTGAGCTGAAGAAATTCCGGTACGCAGATAAGACACTCGCCCAGGCTCCCTTGCAAACCTGCCCCGCCCCGTCCCGCCCCGCCCGTTAGTCCCCAGCCCAAGGCTCAGAGGAGGGTGGACAAGAACCACAGCTGGTTCTCAGATCATGTTAGGGGTGCACAGTGACAGACATGACCTCAGTAACACCAAGCCGCGTGGCAAGAAAGTTATTCCCTTTTCAACGCTCTTTCTTTGTTTTTCTTTGTTTTCTCTTGAAATCATTGCAAATAAAAAAGTTGCAAGAAGGCTGAGAAGAACTTCCACATACCCTTTGCCCAAATTCACCCTTTGTCCATATTTTCCACATTTGCTCATTTCTTCCCTCCCTCCTTCCCCCCTCCCCTCTCTTCTTCCCCTCTCTTCTCTGTTTCTGAACCATTGAAAAGTAAGTTGCATAATCACGCCCTTTGACCCCTTAATAGTTTAGTGAATTTCCTAAAAACAAGGACATTCTCTTCCATAACCCAGTAAAATTACATAAAACTCAGGACATTGAACAGTGGTACACTACTAGGATCTAAACCACAGTTTATACTCCGATTTTACCAATTGTCCCAATAACGTTTATTGCGTTTTTTTTTTTCCAGTCTTCGATCTAATCCGGGATCACACACCACATTCAGTGTTGTCCCTCTTTAGTCTCCTTCAGCCTGGAACACTTCCGCAGCCCTTCTTTGTCTTGCATGGCATTGTCTCTGACATTTACAGGCCAGTTGTTTCATAGAACTTCCTTCAACTTGGGTTTGTTGACGTTTCCTAGTGCTTAGATTTGGCACCTGCATTTGGGGCAGGAATGTCACACAAGTGCCGCTGTGTTCTCCGCACCTCGCGTCAGGGGCACGTGCCGTCTCTGTGTCCTCTTGCTGGCGGTGTTAACTGTGACCACCTGTAAAGGTGGTGACTGCCAGGTCTCTTCTCTTGCAAAGTTACTGTTTTTCCCTTTGTAATGAATATGTATGGTGGAGGGGATACTTCGACTATGTAAATATCCTGTTCTTCCTCCAACTTTCACCCACAAATGTTAGCATCCATCCATAATTCTCAGCTGAATCAATTGTCAGTATGATGGTGGCAGAAGGGAGTTTTCCCAACTTTCAGTTCTCTTTCTGCTTTTTTTCTGAGACAGAGTCTCACTCTGTCACCCCAGCTAGAGTGCAGTAGCATCCTAGCTCACAGCAACCTCCAACTCCTGGGTTCAAGCGATCCTCCTGCCTCAGCCTCCCAAGTAGCTGGGACTACAGGCATGCGCCACCACGCCCAGCTAATTTTTTCTATTTTTGGTAGGGGCGGGGTCTCACTCTTGCTGAGGCTGGCCTCGAACTCCTGAGCTCAAGCGATCCTCCCTCCTCAGCCTCCCAGAGTGCTAGGATTACAGGCGTGAGCCATCACGCCCAGCCCTTCAGTTTTCTTTCAGTCCAACTGATCACATCAAGAAGAAACTCTGTGGGACTGACAGATGTTTGACACCTCTCCAGTACTCCTTTAAAGATGCAGAGCTTGTGGTAAACACAGTAGCGAGCTAGACTTCACAGTGATACTGAGACTTGTAAACTAGACTTGTAAACACAGTAGCGAGCTAGACTTCACAGTGATACTGAGATACGGCATAAGTTGTGAAGCTGCCACCTCAATGACCGTGGCTTAGGCAATACTCAGCTAGCCCACGCTCCTGCCCGCAAGCTCGGTCTGGGCTTCACGAGTCCACGGGGGAAGAGATTTATGCAGAGAAGGGGGCCCCACCCACTGCCCCCAGGAACCACATCCTACCCCACATCCCTGCCCTCCGCCACCAGCATTCAGAGCTCCCAAGACCCAGGGCTCCTGCCTGACCTGTTGCCCTTTGACCCCCCCACTAGGCTGACCTCCAGCTGTGTGAGCACCAAGGGCCTCACCCACCTGGCCTCCGGTCTGAGCCACTGCCACCACCTGGAGGAGCTGGAGTGAGTCGCAGGGCGGAAGGATCTGGGAAGGGATGGCCCAGCTGAGGGCAAGGGGTGGAGAAGACAGCCGGGCCTCAGGTGAGGCGGACGGTGGGGCCTCAGCTTATGACCTTTCTCCTGGTGAAGGCAGCAATTCTGGGTGTCGCCCAGGGAGACTGAGCACTGTGTGCTTGGTCTCAACCCCACCTGTGGGTCTCCAGAGCCTGACCCCCTGGGGCAGGGCAGGAATGCCCGTGGCGTCTGGACAGCCAGGATGGGCTAGGACCTGCAGACCCAGAGGCGGCATCCCAGGGACGGAGGGGTGGGGGATTTAACAGCTCGTCTCCAGGGGCCGAGCACGTTCTTCTAACCCTCACCCCATGCTTGGTCCCCTCCAGCTTGTCTAACAATCAGTTCTTCGAGGAGGGCACCGAGGCGCTGGTGCGGGCCCTAGAGGGGAAGTGCAGGCTGAAGAGGCTCGAGTAAGTGATGGTGGTGGTTAATGGGGAAGTGGGTGAGTGGTGGTGGTTCATGGGGAAGGGTGGTGAGTGGTGGTGGTGGTGGTGGTTAATGGGGAAGGGTGGTGAGTGGTGGTGGTGGTT